AGTAAGTAAAATTTGTTATTTTTATTTTTTGTTTATTCATTCCTTTTAAAAGAAAAAAGTTAAGTGTAAGCTGTATATAGTAAGCTTATTGTCTTTGTTTTTGATAAAAAATCAGGTTGCAATAATATCTCTCATTTGCTGAGGGGTCTATCCTAGGCATATCAAGATTTTTTGAGGCATTAGGTCCGAGAAATTATGGTGGTCTCTTTGTGTGGCCACAACACACAGCAAACACCTGTAACATGGGTTGGGGTACCCAACAAGCCACTCACTGTCCCCCCATGATGTGACATTACTTACTTTTGTGTTCGTTGAGGTATAATTTATACACACTAAATTTAGGAATCTGCTTAGTTTTGCAGGAGTGCACCCATATGAAGAGACAGGAAATTTCCAGTGCTTCAGAAGGCATCCAGGAAGTCAATACTACCAGTCAATAGGTAACCATTATTTAAACCTTCCTTTTGTAAATGTTTATGGGTCCATAACTGAAGAAAATGTCTCTCTTCCAGTTACCTAAAATACTCACAGACTTTTAGGGCAGGGTGACTCTCATTATCGACCCCACCCCCAATGCTTTTTAGAGACAAGAGACTCATCTACCCAGGTTGGCTTCAAACTGGCTTTGTAGCCAGGGTTAGCCATGAACTTCTGATCCTTCTGCTGCCACCCCCTCATTTGCTAGAGCAAGGCAAGAGCCACACGCCCTTTCTAATGGGGCGCTGGAGAGCCAACTCAGTGCCTGGTGCATGCTAGGCAAGCATTCGATCTGCCGAGCAACATTCCAGCGTTTGATGGCATTTGGAAAGTTTTGTGGAGTAAAAATAAATACCGTAGGGGAGAAAAACCATGGATTTTCTAAAAGTATTGTTTAACTAATTTATATCAAATAGTTACTATAAGCCAGGTAGGAGGAATCACTATTGTTACCAATATAAAGAAGACATGAGGGTGAAATCAATGTTAAAAAGGTAGGGGCAAAGGCTGTCACAGGGTGTGAAGGGAGCTATGTGGACACTGTGTGTGGACGTGGGGAAACCCTCACGGAGGGCGTGGGGCTGGGAAGCTGAGAACCTGCTGGGTCAAGAGCAGCTAGCTCGTGACCGTGACAACTGAAGGTGCAGTGGCAGAGGGGGAGAGGGGGGGAAGGGGGAGGGGAGGGACTGTGGCTGGAATAAAGGTAGAGCACAAAACGAATGTTTGCTTAATTAAATTGTCTGGTAAGGAACTCAGCTGCCTTTGGCAAATAATCCCAGCGGTATCAAAGGAAGCAGCAGGCAGCCTGCTAGTGACGGTGTGCACTTTGCAAATGGCCTGCTCTGCCTGTTCTAGGAAGGCTCTGACAACAGTGAAGCCTGATGCATAGTGGCCCATGCAGATCTATCTAATACAGTCTCAAAATAATTCTCTTTTATGGAGGAGGAAAGTAATGGCGGACGAGTGACTTCTGTAAGCCCCTCAAGACGTGAGTGGCCAGGCCCCTTCCCCAGGACTCTAACTGCCCTAACTGCTGGACCCTGCCCTACCCTACAGAGTAAAGCAACCAATCTCTGAACATGAATCCCGCCAATTGCCACCCTGGAAACTCACCCCCTTCCCAAGAAGCTCCATGTAAGCCGTGTATCCTGCTCAGCTTGCCTCTTCTCACGGGCAGAGGCAGTCACCTTCTGGTTTTTTCCTCTCCCAATAAATCTCCTGTGTGAGGTTGGTTGTGCAGTGTGACTTTGTATGTTCCTTGGCTTCCGGCTGCCAGGACACCTTTCCATCCAAGCTACAATGCTTACAACTTCATTATGCCCAATATCTGGTTAGTGAAAGATTAGGAATGAAGTCATAAAGAGTGTATGCTTTGAGTACTAAAACCTTGGGTTAGTGAATGACTATGTGACTTTCAACAAGTGCCCGGGGCCCTTTTTCTTTATCTGTGACACAGAAAATTGCTATCCACTTTGTAATAGCTTCTACCACAGGGCTTATCGGGTTCAGCAGTTTCTTTCTCCTTAGCCTTCTTTGTAACACAGGTCACTGATAAGAAATTCAGAGGTTCAAGAAAAGGGGGTTCACTGGCCCTCCAAGCAGGGCCTTAGAAGGTGCCAGGGCTGTGTATAGGTGTTCCCTGCTATTGGGGGTTTTGTTCTCAGCCTCAAATGTCTCAAAAGTTGACACCGTTAGAACTTGCATAGTGGGATGGCTAACAAAATGCCCTGGAAATTTGGGAATAGTTCAGAATGAAAGTATATCCAGCACTAGACACATTTCCCATGGCAGGCTCTCCTTTCTCAACCTCCTTTTCCACTCCACCCCACCAGACAGGGTTTCTCTGTAGCCCTAATTGTCCTGGAACTTGCCCTGAGATCCGCCTGCCTCTGCCTCCTAAGTGCTGGGATTAAAGGTGTGCACCACCACTACCCAGTGACCAGTTTTCTGTGTGTGAGTGTTTTGTCTGCCTGCACATATTTCGTGGTGCGTGAGGTCAGAAGGGTGTGTGTGTCCTCTGATTTGAGACACCTTGAGAGTGCTTGGAACAGCAAGTGCTCTGCCAGAACAGCAAGTGCTCTCTCTCTCTAGTCTATATGCTGGAAAAACAGCATAGTTCCATCACAAATGCTACCTGTGGTCCCTGTGAATCATACCTTTCTGTAAACTCACTTTCTAAAGTGAAATGAAATCATCAAAAAAGGGCTAGAATTATTTTCTGAATTATGTTACATTTCACTCACTGAGGAAACACCTTTATTGGCTTTGTCTTTTTTTTTTTTTTAATTTTGTGTCGCTCAGGCTAGCCTTCATACTCAGCCTTCTAAATGCTGGGGTTAGACTTGTGACCTCACGCCCTGTGTCACAAGTGTGTCACAGCATCTTCCCCAGGCTAACTTCTGCATATGGCTAACAGTCATTCACAAGCCTTCTGCCATTTCTAGACATTTCATCATTTGCGCTATTGTTAATGACCTGTATTGTCCATTAGCCAGCGGCGCACGTTCAGCCAATGGCAGTTGAGGGGCTGGAGAGACGGTGCAACAGTCATTGAGAACACTGGTTAGTCTTCCAGATGACCCAGGTTCGGACCTTATCACCTTCGGGTGGCTAACAACAGCCTGCAAATCTAGTTCCAGGAAATTTGAGGCCTTGCACGCCACTGGCAACAGGCACAGACAAACACCCATAGACCTAAAATACAGAGTAAACCCCCGGAGAAACGGGGGTGAGGAAGAGTATTAGCAGAGCTCTGAAAGGCTAGGCTTGAGCTCTGTTGTTTTCTTTCTAAGCATAGAGCCATCACGGGATTACCAAGGAAGGGGCGAGAGTTTTGCTGGGTAGGGGGCCGGATGAGACACTAGGAAGGAAGAAACAGGATTTCCAGAAACATTTTTAAAGGAAATGTGCGGGGTAGAGGTGTGGATAGGTGGGAATAGATCATTCAAGCTAAGATTGCAGACAAAACTATTCGTTCGGGGCTGTTGCTGGAATCTTAGGGAGGAATGCAATGTGGACAAGGGCAGATTGATGTTAAGGGAGTAAATGGCAAGACACGTTGTTGTGACAAGGGCAAGATCAGAGTCTGTCTTGGTACCTGAAAGTTTGTGGGTGCAATTCTTGGGAGAGGGCAAAGGAATGCGGAGTTCACGTTCAAGGGCTATAAGGTGCATGCTGAGACAGACGAATTACATGTCCGGTAAGCGTCGATACAGCAGTCTGAGACAGAGAAACGAGTCTGGATTAGCTGGAAGCTTGTAAACCTTCTAGAGTGAAGAGCTGGGATAGGATAGATTGGCTAAATTCGTGGATTTAGAAGTGGGAAGAGAACAGGGTAAAGAAAATCGGAGATCTAAAGAGGGAGACATCTTGAAAGCCAGGGGAACAAGGTGGCGGCAGACGCCTCCTAGAGGTCAAAGAGGAGAATGGCAATCTCATCTAATCCTTGGTCAAAAGATTCAGGGGAGCAGAGGTGGGGATTGGGCGAGCCACAGACAAAGCTAAGGAAGGCAACTTCGTTAGTTCCTTTACGGAGCCTGCCTTTGAGAGACAGGAAAGGTAATTTAAAGCTCCAGGGGAAAATCCATTACTCTTGGGAGTGGCTGTCCTCTTTTGTGTTCTTGGGGGTGTGTCCTTTTTGGATTTTCCCACAATGAACTGGGCAAAGAAAACAAACCCTCTAAGTCACCATACTAAAATAAGCAACTCCGCGAAAATCTTCGGCCTTTAAAATTCCTGGGGTGTAAATAAGGAGCTTTAATGTGGCGCTCATCGATTGGTAAATTAAAAGCAAAACCCGTCATTTCCGGTACTGCAGGATGTAAACCTTCGAGTATAGCTTCTGCTCTCCTATTGGCTGTTTGAGGCAGCTCCGCTTTCAGCCAATCAGACTAGTATTCCTTCACCCCCTCCCGGCAGATCTTATAAATTACACCAAATTGCTTCACCTTTCCATATCCTTTGCTTGAAAAAGCTGCAGTTATTGCCTATTCCGCCATAATGTCTGGCCGCGGTAAGCAAGGAGGCAAGGCCCGCGCCAAGGCCAAGTCGCGGTCGTCCCGCGCCGGGCTGCAGTTCCCGGTGGGGCGCGTGCACCGGCTGCTGCGCAAGGGCAACTACGCGGAGCGCGTGGGCGCCGGCGCACCCGTGTACATGGCGGCCGTGCTGGAGTACCTGACGGCCGAGATCCTGGAGCTGGCGGGCAACGCGGCCCGCGACAACAAGAAGACGCGCATCATCCCGCGCCACCTGCAGCTGGCCATCCGCAACGACGAGGAGCTCAACAAGCTGCTGGGCAAAGTGACCATCGCCCAGGGCGGCGTCCTGCCCAACATCCAGGCCGTGCTGCTGCCCAAGAAGACCGAGAGCCACAAGGCTAAAAGCAAGTGAAACGGACGTCGATCCAAAAAGGCTCTTTTTAGAGCCACCAAGTCTTCATTAGAAGAGCTAGTGCGCTAGTTCGTGGTCAGCCCTCTAGTTGACTCTTTGGTGGCTCTTAAAAGAGCCTTTTTGGGTGGGAAGCGATATTGGCTTATTTGTTCTTGCCGGGCTTATGGCTCTCCGTCTTCTTGGGTAACAAGACAGCCTGGATGTTGGGCAGGACGCCGCCCTGGGCGATGGTGACGCCCCCTAGTAACTTGTTGAGCTCCTCATCGTTCCTCACGGCCAGCTGCAGGTGGCGCGGGATGATGCGCGTCTTCTTGTTGTCGCGGGCCGCGTTGCCCGCCAGCTCCAGGATCTCGGCCGTCAGGTACTCCAGCACGGCCGCCATGTACACGGGTGCGCCGGCGCCCACGCGCTCCGCGTAGTTGCCCTTGCGCAGCAGCCGGTGCACGCGCCCCACTGGGAACTGCAGCCCGGCGCGGGACGACCGCGACTTGGCCTTGGCGCGGGCCTTGCCTCCTTGCTTACCGCGGCCAGACATGTCTTTACAGTAAAAAATCAACTCTTGTGACTTTACTATAAAACTAGGTTGTAGCGTCTCTAAGGCCTTTATAAGGTTTCCTAGGGGTGGGGTCAGGAGCCAGCTTTTCATTGGTCATAATGTGGCCCCAGAGAAGCCCAATGAAATCTGAAATGTAGATTCTTTATTCCATAGGCTTGTACTGAAAACGCAAGTTTCGTGTATGAACCAATGGAAATGAAAGGTATTTTGAGTCCTAATTTACATAAGGTGGTTATAAAAGGCTCAGGTCCTCTGGCTTCCAGTTTGTTTTCCCAATTACTCCGCCCCTTTGTGTTTTAATCATGCCTGAGCCGGCTAAATCCACTCCGGCTCCCAAGAAGGGCTCTAAGAAGGCTGTCACCAAGGCTCAAAAAAAGGACGGCAAGAAGCGCAAGCGCAGCCGCAAGGAGAGCTACTCCGTGTACGTGTACAAGGTGCTGAAGCAGGTGCACCCCGACACTGGCATCTCCTCCAAGGCCATGGGCATCATGAACTCCTTCGTGAACGACATCTTCGAGCGCATCGCAGGCGAGGCTTCCCGCCTGGCGCATTACAACAAGCGTTCGACCATCACTTCCCGGGAGATCCAGACGGCCGTGCGCCTGCTGCTGCCCGGGGAGCTGGCTAAACACGCCGTTTCGGAGGGCACCAAGGCGGTCACCAAGTACACCAGCTCCAAGTGAGGCGCAGCCAGGATGAGGCGCTCGCTGACCCTTTTGCCCTCTGAAGGCTGTTGCAGAGCTACCCGCTTAATTCGGGGAAGTTTTGTCCACTTGTATCAGTTTCTGGTTCCTATTCCAAAGTTACTTTCAGGGTCTTGGAGAATGTACTCTTGAGTGTTAAGCATTTGTAGTTTCGAGGTCCCCTGAGCTGCTGTGCATTTGGCCGTAGAGCTCACGCCCCATTTAGTTTCTTGGAGTTCTTAAGCTAGGGCGATGAATGTCGGCCTCTGCCGGGTTTCTTCCGTGTTCTAGACTGTTGTGTTCGGGCGCTTTTTTGTTTATCGACCTAAAGCGAGATGACTTGATTACTTTGGCGGTGAGAGGCTCCGAGACACACCTAACTTGACGAGTGCTGTGTACCAGTCATCGACAACTGAAGCCGCTGGGTCCAGTTTATGTGTCCTGGGTGCCGGCGCTTCCTGTACTTAGGGCTGCATCCTCGCCTTCCGCGTTGCTGCGGGTTTGGTAGAAGTCTGTTGGGGTTCTCCCTCAGGCTTTAGAATCCCAGGATTGTGGGTTTCTTTTCTTTTTCCCACTTACTACTTTGCGTTAACCGCTGCTCATTTTCGCTCTGGGCCCATGAAGCGATCTTTCTAATTCACCCAGTCAAGGAGTTGTTTTTCCTGCCTGTCGTGTCTCCCCTGTCTGGTTTGCTTTCTTGTTCTACACTGTCTCTGATAAAGCTGGCCTGATGTTCTGATACCTCAGAACCCATAAATGGCCTGGCACCGCAGATGCCTAAGTACTTGTTAATTGTAATTTTAATTTCACTGCTTTTGTGGCTGAAGTCGGTGTGTGTGTGTGTATGTGTTTGTGTGTGTGTGTGCGTGCGCGCGTTGTCCGTTTGATGTATGTGAAGACACGATGGAACAGAAATGTTTGGAGTATTCTTTCTCCAAATCTGTCTTTATTATAGTTAATGTGATGGCTGTTCTTGGTTGTCAACTGGACTACATCTGGAAATAACTAAAACAAAAGTGACAGTACACCTGTGAGGGATTTGTTTTCTTAATTAAATAATTTGAAGTGAGAAGAAGCACTTTTTGAGGTGGGAAGAGCCACTTTGAACCTGGGCCACACCTGCTGGCAGCCTGTGTGAAGGACAGGAAGAAGGGAGCTTGCTCTTCGACTGCTCTTCCTGACAAGAGTTCCTTCACTGGCATTAGAGCCTACTTCTGGATTCTGGCATATTCTGAAGACCAGCCGAGACATCCAGCCGTCAACAACTACCCGGTTCATGCACCTTCCGTTGGTAGGCAGCCATGGTTGGACTAACTGGACCCCAGCCTGTAAGCCATATATCTATGGAAAAAATACATATATATTTCATTCTATAAGTTCTGTTCCTTGAGAGTCCTGACTAATACAATTACCTCAGTGTAGTGTGTGTGTGTGTGTGTCTGTGTGTGTACCAGAAGCTGGGCATAGTAGATTCCTTATTTTTCTCAGTTTAGAGTAAACTCTTGGATTTTCATTAAATTGAGAGCATTGGACTTTGGGAGAAAGTCTCCTTTTACCTCCACCAGCAACCTGCACTCCAAGATTTGCTGAGAATGCATAGAGGCTCTAGGTTCAACCCCCAATATATAAACACACACACACACACTCATGCTCACACATGCACACACACATTCATGCTCACATATGTACACACATTCACGCTCACACATGCACACACATATTTACACTCACGCATGCACACACATTCACGCTCACACATGCACACACATTCACGCTCACACATGCACACACACTCATGCTCACACATGCACACATTCATACTCACACATGCACACACATTCACGCTCACACACGCACACACATTTACACTCACACATGCATGCACATATTCACACTCATATGTGCACACATTCACGCTCACACATGCACACACATTCACGCTCACACATGCACACACACTCATGCTCACACATGCACACATTCATACTCACACATGCACACACATTCACGCTCACACACGCACACACATTTACACTCACACATGCATGCACATATTCACACTCATATGTGCACACATTCACGCTCACACATGCACATACATGTTCACACTCACACATGTACACACATTCATGCTCACACATGCACACACATGTTCACACTCACACATGCACACATTCACGCTCACATATGCACACACATTCATGCTTACACATGTACACACATTCACGCTCACGTGCACGCACACATTCACACTCACACATGCACACACACCTGCCTCCAGCCAGACTTCTTCCTCACTAGTGCACTGGGGCTGAAATATCCTACAAGGCCAATGTTGATGCCTAGTGATTGAGAAATATATGACCACAAAAGATATTACAAACAAGACGTGTGAAATAAAATCCCCGGTAAAGTCTAGCCAACACCTGCAGAACACTTGGGATGTACTAGGGAGTGTTTTATGCCCTTTATACACACCGGCTCTTATTATCCTCACAGAGAACTTTATGAAGTTTACTATCCCTCATTTTATAGCTAAGGGAATGAAAGTAACTTCTGCCTTTCCTCAAAGCATTAGAGAGTTAGTCTCCAGCCTAGTTTTATGGGACTTGAGAAAATAGGATTACTCCGTGGAAATCTGGGCCCGTTCTCTGCATTTGGGAAGAGGGCATTGAAATATCCAGACTTCACATTCAACTTACCCGCCCCCTTCTGAACACACCCTGCATAGAAATCCAGAAAGATGCTGGCTAACCTTGGGGATGGGATTGGGAGACTGACTCCATCCCAGAGGCCAGTTTAGTTTGTCCTGGCAGAAGGAAGGGGCTGTGGGAGCATTTGGGGGAAGGGTTTTACTAGCTCACATCCTTTCACCGGCACAAGAGGCTTAGTGGCTTATTTGGGGCTGTCCCCCCCCCCCCGTGATCCTGTGATGGTCTTGTGGCAGACACAGATGAAGAAGGAAGTGGTAGTAGAATCTGGTATTTTAACCTGGAGGAGAAATTATCAGTACCAAGAGGAATCTTGCATTAAACCTCCTTGTCCCATTCATTTGCTTACCTTAGGTTAATAATTGCTACAAAAATGATCATTGCTTCTACTTACTGAGCCTTCGACTGCCCGCCAGGTCCTCTGCTTAGTGGTTTACACGTGTTGCTTATTTACTCTTGCCAGCTACCGTTTGAGGTATGTTTCATTATTATTACCTTTATGTTATAGATAATGGGAAAAGCCTTGGAAAGCTTAAATGGTTCTTCTGGGGGTGTTGAACATGTAGAACTGCAGCCCAATGCACACCTTTTTGTTACTTTGAGACAAAGTCTCACTATGTAACTCAGGCTGGCACCAATTGTGCTGCAATCCGCTTCAGACACCCAAGTGCTGGGCTACGGAAGGGAATTACTGCACCTGACTAACATCTTTAGAGATCTGTTCATCTTGTTGTACACATTAGTATTTTTTTTCTGACTTAATCCACTTACCTGTTAATGTATAATGGGTTGCCCTAGTCCATCCCCAACTCATATTTTCTCTCTCCTTTTCCTTCCTCTGCTTTTTGAATGTACCCCAACTTGGGGCCATGGTGATTCCATGGAGAAGCTCGGTAATGTTTTCTACCCTTAACTGAAAAGGAGCACAGCGGGAAGGCTGAAACATACACAAGTATCTACTCTGTGGAAGTGGGTGTAGGGTTATCTCTGCTCTCCTCTGTGCTCCAGTCTCCCTGTGTTCTGCAAGTCCTCTCCAGTACAAACCGGACCCCATCACTTTGCTCAAACCCTCGCTGTCAATTCACCGCCTCGGCTTGTAGGTCTCAGTGAAACATGAAACAACACGCCACATTCAGTGTCGCATGTGAGCTTGACGTCCTGTGCTTTTGAAGGGGAGGCCCTCAGGGTTCTTGGTTTTAGGAACTGAGAAGCACCCAACACCTGTGGCTGAGAACTGGCCTGTGTGACACAAGCTGAAGAAGAGTTGTGTGTGACCACGTAGGTGACTTTGTGTGAGATGGAATGAGAGAGAAACCTTGCCTGTTGGACGCGACTGTGTTTTCCTTTCAATTAAGTAATCCTGTGACAAAAGTGGAAGCAAACAAGAACAAAACAAAAATCAATCAAACAAACAAATAGGGAGATTGTCTTAGCTCCTAATCTCAGCTTTATTCGTGTCTCAGGAACTGACAATTACTCTTTATTTATCTTTAGAAACTGCCATTTAACCAAGAGGTTGTCCTTGTTATTAGGGAGACCAGGTTCAACCATCTATTTAATATGCACGATTGAGAACATATACTTTTATAAATATGTTAACATTGTTAAGAAGGCCCTGTAGGCCATTTCTTCCTCACAGAAGTTTTTATTAGGTGTAGTATCATGAACTCATTTAAGGATTTTTGGAGTTGAAACTGAAGTTGGCTTCTCTGTGGGCTGAGGCAGGAGGATTACAAATTCAAAGCCTGTCTGGAACACTTAGTGAGCTCTTGTCCCAAAAAGCAAGAAGAGGACCGAGTATGTATCTTAGTGGTAGGATGCTTGTTTCTCATGTGGGAGACCCTAGATTTGGTCCCTGGGGTAGAAGAAAAACATAATTCCAAGCTAGTGTGGTGGCGCCAACCTTTAAAAACCCCAGCACTCGGGACGCAGAAGCAGGAGGATCTCTGTGAGTTTGAGGCCAGCCTGGTCTACAGAGCGAGTTCCAGGACAGCCTGGACTACATATACCCTGTCTCTAAATAAATAAGCAAATAAACACAATTCTGTCTGTTAGATGGCAGGCAGTCTCTAAGGCAGTGATGATATAAGGCTAAGCAGAACAGAACGGCTTCTGGCTCCCTGAAAGACAGACAGATGATAACCCTCGGCGATAACAACCGTTGGCAAGTGTAGGGCAGGTGCAGAGTGATGGGGGGTGCTCTGACTCACCACTGGAGGTCGCCTTAGCTACTTTTCTGTGGTTTGAATAAGAATGACCCCCATAGGCTCATATATATGAATGCTTGGTCATTAGGAACTAGAGCTACTTGACAGCGATTAAGTGTATCACGGGGAGTGGGCTTTGAAGTTTCAAATGCTCAAGCCAGGCCCAGTGTCTCTTTCTCCCTGCTGCCTGGGAATCTGGATGTAGGACTCTCAGCTACCTCTCCAGCACCATATCTGCCTGCACACCGCCATGCTTCCCTCCATGGCGATAATGGACTGAACCTCTTTAGCTGAGTTGTCATGGTCATGGTCTCTTCACAGTGATAGAACAGTGATTGAGAGAGCTGGGAAGAGACACGTGACCAAAGTAACTTATAAAACAGAAAGCATTTAATTGGGGGCTTCCAAAAGTGGGTCCATGACCGTTTTGGTGGGGAGCATGACTGAAGATAGGTAAGGACGTGGAGTGGTAGCTGAGGGTTTGCATCCTGATTAGCAGGCAGCACACAGAGAAGGAGCTGACTAGAAACAGTGAGGGGTTTTGAAATTTCAAAGCCCACTCACAGTGGCACACCTCTTCCAAAAAGGCCACACCCCTTAGTCCTTTCCAAACAGTTCTGCCAACTAGGAACCTATCGTTCAAACATATGAGCCTGTGGTGGCCATTTGCATTAAAACCACCACAGAGGAAGGCAAGGTCTCTTCCAGAGAGAGGCCCGTAGGCTAAGAGCAGGGAAGGTTAGGAAAGAATGTCCCAATCAGAAGGCAGCATGGGTGAAAACCCCCAGGGGAGTGGGGAAGAGGGGGCCCCCAGGGGAGTGGGGAAGAGGGTGCTCAGGAAGAGATAAGCTGAATTGGAGGAACTCAGTCACAGGCTAGCATGACTAGGAACAAAAAGGCACTGGAAGGCATTAAAACAGGGAGCTCACCTTCTCAGAGACCATGTGGTGTGTCCTAAGGCACACGGCACCCTGATCCTCCAATGACGGTTCAATGCAATGGGACTTCCTTTAAATGGAAAACAGTGCTTCAGGCTAAACAGGTTGACAATAGACAGCATGGCATCCTGCAAGTGGCTTTCTTTCAATATTTTATGGTTTTTCTGTATGTGAATGTTTCTCCTGCATGTGTGTGTGTGCAGGACCGCGGATTCCTTGGAGCTGGAGTTACAGCCAGCTGTGAGTGTGGATGCTGAGGACTGTTGGGCCTAAGAAAGGCTTGGATTCGAGGCCCAGTGTAAGCTCCTGAGCCTGACTTGAGTTTAGTGACCTGTCTCTAACCTGTAACCTCCACGTGGGGGTGACTCAGCCAGATCTGATGCAAGATTGCCCCCTGCCTAGCTACCTGCCTGCTTGGTGGAATACTATTGGTCCTTAACTCCTCATGTCACCTTACCTATCCCAAGATTCCCATCCCCTACCTCCTGTGTGTTGGAATAAATCGAGATCCTGCTTCGACAGACTCCCGACTCAGTGTGGTTTTTTTCTCCCTGATAACTAATGGAGGGAGGGTCTGAGTCGTCAACACTCACCATCCTGCTCAGCCCCCCGGGAAGAGGCCAGCTGGACTGGCCCTTCCCCCTCTCTACCTGCAGGGAGGACCCTGCAGAGGACAGAACCCGAGTCCTGCACAGCCGTCTCTTCAGCAAGTGGCTTCCTTATTGTAGTTTGGTTTTCTCCGAAGTTTGGCCTCTTAAACAAGTTCAGTTGGACCCAAACATGTAATTTTAGATATTTAGTAGCTACCGTCTCTCACTAGACGTTAAGAGCACAGGGCGTGGCACCTGACTGCCTGGTAGTGAAGCTCAATTCTTTATCACTCAATAGTTAGAAATGATGGTCAGTTTTTTTTTTTGAGCCAAAATTTTTTATTTATTCATTTCTTGCACTTGAAGTACTCCTTGGCCTGAGATTCTTTGTCATACTCCTTAACCACTACACAACTGCAACCAACCACTTTCCGTGGTTTCCCCTCTCGATCGATTTTACAGAGGCCTACCCATTCCCCTAGTTTCTTGTCATCAACCTTAATTAGGTTGATCTGGTGCTCGGCACAAAGGGCCTCCACCAACTTGACATACATGGGCTCATCACAATTTGATGCAAGCACACAGAGATGGGCTTGGCGCTTGTCTAAGGCTTTGGCAGCTTCGCGGATGCCACGTGCGAGGCCATCGTGGATGAGGGCGGTCTTCAGCACCTCCTGAAGTGCGGTATTGACGTCCATTACACCTCCAGCAGCAACGCCTTCCTCGGCCATGGCGGTGGATTACGGGTGAGGCCGAATCTTGAACACACCCGAGCCTCCGCCTCCGCGCAACTCGGCGGCGGCAGGGGAAAAAAAAACATGATGGTCAGTTTTAATTCTCAGTTCTACACCATTTAGAATCACTATGGAAACAAGCCCTGGAGCACGTCTACAGATTTTTTAAAAAAGATTTCATTAAAAATTTATGAGTATATTCGTATGTGTCTGTCTGAATGTGTGTGTGTGGGTGTCCATGGAGGCCTGAAGGGGTTGTTTGATCCCATGGAGCTGGAGTTACAGAGCTGCCCCATGAGGCTGCTGGGAAGCATATTTTGTAATTGTCTGATTTGTTGGTGTGTGGTGTGCGTGGTGTGTGGGTATTTGCATTTTAGCATTTGTGTGAAGGCCTTCATATCTAGCCGAATGAGTTTTCTTCTTCCACCAAATGAGTTCCCGCGGTTAGACCGGGGTTGTCCAGTTTAACAAACTGCCTTTAGCCCTAACCATCTCATTGGCCCCCATTCAAAGTGTTTTCAAATCCATACACAAAGAAGGAAATTGACATTTGAGCACTAGCTGCACCTTTTTGTTTTAGATGTGTGTTAGCCCCGCAGTCTTTATCATTTAAGGATATGTAAAGAAATCTTTCATTCTGACATAATATGGTGTCTGGAAGGAATTTCCTTCAAAATGATCCCGGGTGACTGAGTTGAGTTATATCATGTGAACATAAAATGTATTATTTATTTTTGAGACAGGCTTGCACTGAGCAGCTCTGGATGTCTGGAAATTCTCTCTCTATATTAGACCAGGCTGACCTCAAACTCTCAGCATCCTCCTGCCTGTGTGCTCCAAGTGCTGGGCTTGCAGGTGCGTGTCATCAGGCCCAACTGAAATGTTTGTATTTTAAAGCTGCTAGCTAGCGTCTCTGGACAAGAACCTTACCATTTTTTTACTTAGAGGTTTTTGCTTTGTGTTTATATGTGAACAATGAATCTTTGGTAAACATGGTAGTATGTTCTCAGCACTCAGATGGGCAGGAGAATCTCAAGTTCAAGGCCAACCTTGACTACATACTGAGACTTTGTTTCAAATAAGCTTTAAAACACAACAAAAGCAAATATTTGGGGCCTGAGAGATGGCTCAGCTGTTAAGACCGCTTGTTGCTCTGGCATAGGGGTTTAGGTCCCAGGTTCCCCCCCTCCCTTTTTTTTTTCTTTTTCTTTTTTTGGTTTTTCAGACAGGGTTTCTCTGTATTGTTTTGGATGCTGTCCTGGAACTCGATCTGTAGACCAGGCTGGCCTCGAACTCACAGAGATCCGCCTGCCTCTCGAGTGCTGGGATTAAAGGCATGAGTCACCAACACCTGGCTCCTAGATATCCTTTTACAACCCTCTGTAACTCCAGTTCCAGGAATCTGACACCCTCTTCTGGCCTCCTTCGGCACCAGGCATGATTGGGGTGCACAGACATGCAGGCAAAAACATACACATAAAATAAAAATGAATCAATCTTTAAAACACAGAACAAACCTTGAAATTGGAGTTGAGGAGACCTGTACATGCTATGATTGATTGTAATGTTTTCTAACGCTGCAGTACTATGTGTTCTCTTGGCTTCCCCCCTGTATTTCCTTAGCTGAAACAACTGGGTTATTTCTGTAGCAGTTTTTCCATCTAGGTCTTTTTTATTGTTTTCCTTATCATATGGCGTATCACAGTCCCTTTCCGCTATATTTCCAGCAAGTCAGTAGAGGTTTGATTAGGTGTAAGTTCACATTTCACCTCTTGGTAAGTGATAGGATCCCTTTTGATATAAGTAGGAAAGAAAATGTATGTATGTGCATGTTATTATTTAAAACACTGTTCTGAACACCAATAATGATGCTCACTTGTAAGGATTTGGGGGACGGGAAAGCTTTGCCTTATTTCTTCTTATCTCTTATAGTTTTAGTTTACTGGGCACATGCTCTTACAAATATTGTTAGCAAGGAGTGGCAGCTGGTAGGTGGAATCCCAGTATTGCTGGGAGCGTGGCAAATCTGTGGAAAGAATGTATTTCAAAATACCTAGGAACCTGTAGACGCTCAAGGTATTGCAGTTAGTTCTGAGAAGGAGCTGAGGAAACTCTCAGTGACACAAACAGCAGCCGATTTAAATGAAGGGCAATGATAACAAGAATAACAAGAGGCACAGGAATCCCTGGGGCAAAGGGTGACCTACGGTCTGGGATTGGGACTCCGCTGTCCCCAGCCTCATTAAAAATACAGTCACAGGAAACTCTGAATACCAAGCTGGCTCTGGTGGTGTAGACCTGAAGTCCCAACACTCAGTTACCCAGGGAGGGCTTGAAGCTTCTCCAGTTAACAAGCCCTACCCACCCCAACCTCCGCCCAGTGAGCACACCTCTGTCTCTCTCTCTCACACACACACACACAGAGAGAGAGAGAGAGAGAGAGAGAGAGAGAGAGAGAGAGAGAGAGAGAGAGAGAGAGAGAGAGTTGTTTTGTTTGGCTGAACTTGAACTCACTGAGATTCACCTGCTTCTGCCTCCCTAGTGCTGGGATTAAAGGTGTGCACCACCACCACCCAGCCCAGTTAATGCTATTTTAAGCTGCCAAGTGGGTGTTGGGAACTGAACTTGGGTCCCCTTCAAGAGTAACCAGTGCTCTTGACCACTGAGTCACCTCTCCAGTCCCTGTCATACTTTTCTTAAATACAAGTAAGTCACAGATTCTATTTCTACTGAAAGGAAGGGGATTAAATGAAGGATATTAGAGGCTAGCAGTCACTGAGACCACTTTAGAATTCTGCTTACCATAGAAACATAGAGGAAAATATTTCAACTCATGTCAGCTGTTTTTCTTTGATTGATATTACTTTTAACATAAAATAGTAAAACTTTTTTAAAAAACATAAAAAAGGACAATAAAAAAAGAGGACTAGGAAGCCTGCTGAGTTCCAGTGCTCTCAACACATTTCAGCTCCTCAGAATGAATCCTGGAAGGCCGACGTTGTGATTTTACAGTGGAGTAACCTGAGTGTTAGACAGGACAGATACTTTAGACTTCTCCTTCCGCATGCTGTATAGTTTCAGAGTGCCCCTGCCCAAAGGAAAATCATCCCAGTTCATAAAAGAGGCTGATGACGACACAGGTGAAATGATTTGGTGGTGTGTTCTGACGCTTTTGAGTTTTATGTGGGGGCAGTGGCTGTGGCTCAGGGGTAAAGCACTTGCCTCATATACAGGAGCCCCAAGGTTCAATTCCTAGTTCTACCTAAAGATTGTACACCGTGCCCAGTGTGATGGCACACCCGAGGCAGAGGCAGGAGAGCCATAAGTTAGAGTCTAGCCTAGACTGTATAAACAGGACCTGTCTCAGAAACAAAGGCCATGAGCTATCAAGATGACTCAGTGGGTGACACTTGCTACCCAGCCTGACAGCCGAGTTAAATCCCTGGCCCCACATGATGAAAGGAGGGAATGGACTCATGGAAGTTGTTCTCTGATCGACACACATGCACTGTGGCACGTGTGCTCACACACACTCACACACATACACTCACACACATACACTCACACACATACACTCTCACACACACACTCTCTCTCACACACACACACACACACACACACATAGGAAATAAATGTAGCTGGGCAGTGGTGGTGCACACCTTTAATCCCAGAATTTAGGAGGCAGAGGCAGGAGGACCTCAGTGAGTTAAGGCCAGCCTGGTCTACAAAGTGAATTCCAGGACAGCCAGGATTGTTTCACAGAGGAACCCTGTCTTCACAAACAAAGCAAAAACAAAAAACAAACAAAGAAAGAAATGTAAAAACCGAGGGTATTGTAGAGTATCTTTTTTTTTTTCTTTTCTTTTTTTGGTTTTTTTGAGACAGGGTTTCTCTGTGGCTTTGGAGGCTGTCCTGGAACTCACTCTGTAGACCAGGCCTCGAACTCACAGAGATCCGCCTGCCTCTGCCTCCCAAGTGCTGGGATTAAAGGCGTGCACCACCAACGCCCGGCTGTAGAGTATCTTTTAATACAGTCAAGGTCCTGAATTCAATCCAGCAGCAGCACAGTTAGACAACTAAGTAAATGCATAAGTGACTACAGAATAAACAGGGACAGAAGGCTGCACACGATAATGTGCAGGTCTGTTAAGACTTGAGCCTCGTCCTGCAGGGCTTGGTCATGGAAACCTGACTGGGGAATGAAGAAACCACAGACACACACAGGAAAGCTGTGATAGGGTGGGCTGTACTCACTTTGGAGGAGGGCCCCCGCCACACAGTCCGGAAGCGGTGTATTTACTATGCACAGAACAACGAGACAGCCAGGTCAGCTAGTACCCGTGGCAGGTCCCTGTAGGGGGTTGGTCTCAGGCTGTTTCCTTTTGGGAGGAGTGTGGGGACACCAGACCTTGAGCAGAAACCCACTTCCCCTTCAGCCTGGGAGCAGGCAGCTGTGAGATAATGTTTACTGAAAACAATTCAGTGCTATAAAGCTCTTGATAGGGCTCAGATAAGGGCTCGCTCACTGTAACACCATGACTTTGACACTCCCTAAGGCTAGATGCCTCTTCCTGTGCTCCCTGCTGTGTCTCCCCGATTCTGGAGATTAAACCACCAGCCAGGAGGGTGAGAAGTCTGGGAAGAATTGTATGTAGATGGATGGCAGAAGTCCTTAAAAAGGGAAGGGGGGGGTGTTTCTTGGAGAGACTTCTCTCCTAATCGGACTTGGGGTCTCCTCCTAAGCTGACTTGGGAAGCATAAAGTTTTCTTAAAGCAACCGACCGGTCTCTGTGTCATCTATCCCGACCACCTCGCTACATTCTCGGATGCAGGCTGCACAGCAGGTGCAACAGAGGGGCAAGCAATGGTTGACAGTTTCTGCACACACAGGTCAATCACTCATAAGCACTTACATTTGGATCATATTTGTCACACCTCTGAGCCTCACCTGGGTAAGATTTTGTCTTTTCCATGGTCTCAGGCATTGGGGTCCTTGACATGGCCATGCCCATGTCAATAATATGTATTCTCTCAGGACTCCATCCACTCCCCCCACATACATT